TTTCCGTGTTTAGTGTTATTGAAAATTGTTATCTTGGTCCATGGTAGGACTCAGTAATGCGTTAGGGTGGGTGCCCCTAATTAACAAATTGGTGCTGACCAGGGTGAAGTAACATGAGTTGCATGTATCAGCATTAATTAAACTGCACTATTCTGAATTGTAGATTAATTTGATGCGTATAATTCATGCAGCTAGCATATCAGGTAGCAAATTGGAAGTCATGGAAGATTTGGATTCTTCGTCAAAAGAGGATGGTGGAATCATAGCCAATCACCTAAAACAGATCAAACAATGGCTCCTTTCACACTCGCAGTATCTGAACTTCTTCACAATTTTGGTTCTTGCTTCGGTAATTTTGAGCTCTCTTTTAGTTTTCTATTGGAGACATGCAAATTATGAAATTGATTCCTTTATTGCTTTGCGGTTTGCATAGCACAATATATCCTTATTTTTCCTACTGAATACTGTATAATTTTGATTACATTATGCTTTGTCTTACAAGTTATGGATTCAACTTGCAACTCCGGACGGTTTTATATGTGTTGTGGTTGCAGTCCTGATCCTAATTTTTTTATGACGGAGATGGAAAATTGCAGATGAGGGACCAAAAAGAAAAAAAGAAGGAAAGAGAATAAGTGGCAACATCATTATAGAGTTGTTAAACTTCATATCTACCTTGGTTATTGTAGCCATTAATTATAAATATTCTTTCCTGTCATATGTACAGTATACACAATATATATGAACGAAACGAGATTTGGACTCTTGCCATCAGCATGAACTGGAGAGATACATGATTTCATCTTTAGAGTGCTTTGATTTTTCATTTTAATGTCATGATCATGCACTTTGACTACCTGTACATATTTAATTTATTTTTATTTTTATTTTTTACAAATGTACATTCTTTAAAATTTGCATTCTGCAGCTTATATGAAATATTTATCAGGTGCCCAATCCTCTATTTGACCTTGCTGGTATCATGTGTGGACAATTTGGTATCCCATTTTGGAAGTTCTTTTCAGCAACATTGATTGGGAAGGCGATTATCAAAACTCACATACAGGTTTGTATGATTCTTATATATGTTCTTTGGATTGAAAAACATATAGGTAGTTGCTGCTCTTTTAGGTCCATGCTGTTATTAGTTTGATGCTATGATGCAGTGCTATATTCCCAATAAATAACAACCCTGACAGGACGCGATTGTTAAATAAAAAGAGGGGCACTGGATTGAAAGAATTGAAGATGATCATCTATTTTATGTGCCTCATGTTTGGAAAATAGTTTAAAAATCATTTTTGGGACTGTACAGTCATACAGGATCTGTCAAATGATTTAGCCCTGCTTGGGAGATTTTCTGCGTAGAAATTCAATGTGGTTGGATTAACTTAGATGATCTTATTATATCAGTACTTTTAAAATAACATCTTATCATCGTTTCTTCTGTTTAATAACCCAATGAAGTGCTTAAAATAAAAAATCTTAAAAGGGGTTTGAATTTTAAGTAAAAAAATTAAGCTGCTTAAAGTGTTGTAGGACTAATTATTAGCACTAAAAATTTTATATGCTTAGTTTTCAGATTTATCTAAGAACAGCCCATATAACAATAATTTTTGTTTCTACTAACGTCTAGGTCCTGCTCTTTGACTTGCAAGTCTTGTTGAGAAAATAAACCGTCTCATGGGGGCTAGTTCTCACATTCAAGTGTTTCCTGAAAAGTAATGGTTCCTTATAAAAAGCCATGTTGTAAATGTCATACTAAAATAATCAAATGATACACTTTTTCCTGAAGCTCTTTTTGGCATTCGATCTCATATAAAATAATTTTTACCTGTGTTACCACAGACAGCTTTTGTTATCTCTGTTTGCAACAATCAACTTCTCGACCTGATAGAAAATGAGTTGATATGGGTACTCAGTCTTGTCCCTGGACTCTCTTCTATCCTGCCTCCTCTCGTTGCCAAACTACATATTGTCAAGGAGAAGTATATGACAGCCTCTCCTCCTGTTTCCTCGAATACTAAGGTAACGTTCTTGTGTAAGTACATTTGTGCATCAATACTTCTGGAGAGGATACCACTCCTGTGTTCTGGCTGGACCATGCTTCGACATCCTGAACATCTTTTTCCTGTTTTTATGGAAAAGCCGGATGTATTTTACTGCATGAAAAAGTACATTGTGCGTGTTGCATGCATAATTTTTTCCTTTCAATGGTATTTACTTTTCACCCGTTTCCCTCAGATGAAGAAGTGGGACTTATCATTTGCTTCAATTTGGAACACTGTTGTGTGGCTCATGCTCATGAACTTCTTTGTGAAGATCGTCACAGCAACTGCCCAGAGCTTTCTGAAGGAACAGCAGGAAAAGGAGTTGGCCAAGCTAGCAAACAGTGTGACACTTGAAAACACACAGTAAGCCATCAGCCAAGCCCTTGACCACGTCCAATCTGCGACATTGGATGGTTAGTGGCAGAAAGTGTCATTTTTAGAGGCTCCAAAATTTTTAATGTTAGTAGCCTCGATCTCGATTTCAATTTGTAGAGAACACAGGTAGGGATTCAATAGGAAAATTGGGGATTTACATATCCTTCGTAGCAATGCTCTGACTCTTCCACTGGGGCTTGGAATCTTTCAACATTGTCATTCTTCCTGAATGTAACTCATTTATCTGTATAATAATCATGGAGAACTGTAGTTACACCCCAAAATGAAATATTTATTTGTTGTGCATGCTGCCCTGTTTTAGTTCGTAAGAGTGCATTGCGTTGAATTAATAAAGAACAAAGTCGCATGTTTCTATTTGTTCCGCCCTTTTCCGGGCACAGCTGCATGAGATGAAAAATCTTGATAGAGGATGACGATCATCGGAAGAAATGAAGTTAGATTTCTAATAATCATGTACTCCTCATTGATGGAAACAAACAAATTTAGAAAGTCTTAGAAGCTCCACGAACAGATTCAAGAATGTGCAGTAGCCAGACACCTAAAAGACTTGAATATAGCGCAGGAAATCTTGCCTACTGGCAAGAGAATCGATAGTTCATTCTGATGAGAACTATGCAAAATCTGTTTCAAATATCTGCTGAGGTAATTGCAGTTTGAGAACTTTGAATTGAGATTTTTGGGAAATGAAAGAACTTCACTGAATGTGATATTTTTAGATTCTTAATTTTTGCTGCATTAGAGACAAAATTGAAAATTTTTGGTGTGTCCACTTCAAGATCATTACAAGAACTTATAATGAAGACGCAACATTGTGGGTGTGCCAGCGTTTGCTTGAACTTTCTTAAAAAAGTAATAAAAACACTAATGATGCATCTTTCTATTACCCATCACATTCACTACAAATTTAAATGCTCTGTTCTCGACAAATTTAGGTGCTTTATGGACAAAAAAGAGCTATAACATGATATGGAAAAATAGCAATAATATCATAACATCGTGTATTGTTTGGAAATCTGGCCATCATAAATAAAAACTGCCACATTTCAACTTCAAACTTTCATGAGAACAATCTTTATAGAATACATGCTTTCTGGACAGAGAGAAGTGTTGTACAAACAAAAGATATTAAAGAAGTAACACCGAGCATCTAAATTAGTTAACTTCTTGTCATGGGTTTTATATCCAGTTCCAGAAATAAGGAAACAGTTCAACTTCCCCAGCCGTGATTGAGCCCATATGCATCCATATAACCAGCTGCATGAGCATGACCATGACCATCATGGTGGTCATGGCCACCATGACTATGATGGTGCTGGTGGTCAGGACCATTCTCTCTTGCTTCATCAAACATCTTCTGAATATGCTCGGGTACGGGCTCTTCCTCGGCTTGTCTAATGGATTTCGGTAAGGAGGACACAAACTTGTAAATATTTTCAGCTAGCTCATCAGCTGTATCTTCCTGAAATCACCAAAATTACAAGAATATTGGGATTCCAAAAAGTGCAATAAATAGTCAAATACATTATCACTGAAAGTCTGGAATTAAAATAAATTTAACAGTCTAATACCCATAAGATAAAATATCTGTTCAATAATGCTAATCTTCTGAGATATGGAAGAGAAACACTTTTTTGACTGAATAGAATAAATTATGAAATTAATATACATTTTCGGTAACTACGATAAATTATTTACATGCATATTTAAAAAGGTTTTTTCCTTCTTTGAGGAGAGAGGGAGGGGAAAGAGAGAAGCTTCAGTATCTTCTCTCCAACAATTCTCTGTCTCAATCCTATTTGAAAATCAAAACAAGATAATACTATCCCATCATCTGGTTTGGATGGGTATGACAAATTCTGGCCCTGTGAGTGTGCCACCTTTCCAACTGTCTAGTACCAAACCAAAGATTGAATAATAGCAAACTAGACGACATTGGAACTTTTACCCCCACAAATTTTAACTTGTAATGAATTAATCTTAAAATATGAATTGAATCATATTCTACTAAATTAACTTCTCTCTCTAATAAATACTGCTCTGCCACCAATTCTAATCACATTCTTCCACGATAGTACCCATAGAACCCAAGCATATGCGAAGTCATACTTTTGTTGTACTTTATCATTGTAAGTTTCAGCTACCTTTTCACACTGGACTTTCCACCAAAGATCCGATGAAATGAGGTTAATAAGGACAATTCAACTTGTCTACAATTTAACAATGGAATAACAAGCCGGTTATGCAACCATAAGAGAACCATGCTTATCAAATGAGACAATTAGCGTGTTTGCATCGCAGCAGAAAATTGTACGTAGAAATATCGTGATGATGACTAATAGAGTCATTTAATCATCAATCAAGAACATGACTGGTGAGTTAATCTTGAAATGTACCTCTCGAATTGGTCACAGACCAACATTAAGACTGGTCATTACAATTGCATTATTTTTTAACAAGTGATAATAATATTATTAAGACCCTTTTTTTCTTTAAAGAAAATGAACTCCCCTCACAGAACAATATCCTAACTAATTCATAAAAGGGCATGACAGAATATGATAATAATGGTGACGAATGGCTAAAGCAGAAATGACGCATGTGCTTCCCTTCATGCTGGACACAAGCATCTCCATATGACGAACACAAATGCAAGAATAAGTTTCTTCTGAATTCATAAAAACTATCACTGTGAGTTTTTTTTTTGTTTGAAGAGACTAAGTGGCTTGGTAGAGAAGATGAGGATGAAATAAGAATCCATAAGAACTTACAACCAGTGGAAAACTTTTCTTGTCGCATTCAAATGAACTGTTTTTTTTTTTTTTTTTTATATAAAAGAAGTGATTCTCAAGCAAACATACAGAGTCCACACTCTGCTAGTCTTCCTATTATACAACCTACATTGGTTCATATCTATCAATAGCCTATCACATTTTTGTTTAACATGTTCCAGTTTTCATACTTTATTAGAAATAAAGCACATTGCAACCAGCACATCGAGTACACAACTGGAATGAACATTTTGTCTAAATAAGAATTATGACTACATATTTAACCCCCCTACAGGAGACTAAATGATTATCATCAGCATGTAATTTACAGTCTCTTGCAAAGATTTTCCGGTCAGTTCGATTTCATATAAGTAGTCATCCAAGCATTAGCTTTATTCACTAGTCAAATCCTACTTAAACAAATAAGTTAGATGGCAACTGTGTTAAGGTTTGCATTTATAAATTTGTTGTAGGCTAGAAACGGATTATCAGTCAAATAATTCCATTCATGTACAAAGAATGTCAATTAAGAGAAACAATACCAACTTACTGTCTCACGTCATGTAGTTTTAAAAAACATTCAAAATGCATAACAAATTGCAATTTCATTCCATTTCAATTCCAAAAAAGGTGGCCCAAAGATAAACAAGCAAAAGTTTCTAGATATATTTGATCCTCACCTGAGGCCAACGCCCACCAGAATGCATGACAAACGTTGCCTGTGGAAGTGCACCGGCAACTTGGAGACCGGCATCACTCCATTCTTTAGACCAGATCACTTGCATTGGCAAACCTTTCACCCCATCCAAACCACCCCATTCCGCCACATCAAAACTATAATTCAACTTCTTCCCCATTCCAACAACCGCCCGCCTCCCATCCCTACCCTTCAAAAGGATCCTATGAGCCTCCGCCTCCGACCCACCAACTGATTTCAAGCAGCACATTTCAAGAACCCTCTTGAACACAAACTCAAACCCCAACACCACCTCTCTAATCACAGGCACTCCCAATAGCCACAAAGGCAAAGCCGATGCATTTGACCAGGACCCGGTATCAAGAAGTGTTATGCTCCTCACTAATCCCGGATTCTCTGCAACCCAGTTTGCCCCCAACCCTAATGCTGAATCATGCAAAACCAAATCCACAGGACCCAATCCCATTGAATCAATAACCTGCCCCAAAACCCTACCCATCTCTTCAGCACCCATTTCTATGGCCTTAACACTTTCTCTCCTCACTACCCTAACATCATTGTTCTTCTCATAATCCACATACCCATTTTCAACCAACTGATCAAACCCCCAAAACAAACCCTTTTCTCTAATATCACTATAAATCTCCCAAACGCTCCCTAAACCACCACCGGAGCTCTCTTCCACCACAATCGTCGCCTTATCGGAAAACCCAGAACCGGGTAGATCGATAGCGACTGCACGGAGGCCTTTGAGGCCCAGAGACTTGACAATTTTGCGAAAAGAGTAAGAACTACAACCCAACCCATGTACAATGAGTATGTTATCGGATTTGATGGGTCCATCTTGAATGGCGAAGACTTCAATTGGGGGGTGATTTGGGGTGGTCTGGACCTTGATGGTTCGACCGGTGGAGTAGTGGTGGCGGAGAGTGGTGGGGAGAGTGAGGAACCAGGTTTTGGGGTCTTGTGGGGTGAGCTGAGAGAGAGAGATGAAGAGGAGGGTGATGAGAGAGACTGAGAGAGTGAAGAAGAACCAGAAAGTGAAGGGGTTTGTTGTGGTGGTGGGTGGGGTTGGTGGTGAGGTGGGTTTGTGGACGAGTGGGGTTGAGTCGGTGTTTGGTTGGGGTGTTGGGTCTGGTTCTTCTTCTGTTATGATCGCCATTGTTCAGGGTTTGGTGGTCTGTGTATGACCTGGTAGTAGTAGCATAGACTGAACCGAAGTTGGTAAAGCAAAAGTAATAAAGTCTTCTTTTTTGAAGTTTACTAAAGTGGACACTTTTTGTAGCTAATTTTATTAAATTCACAATTTTAATAATTTTATACCATAGGTTGTCAGAAAATCGAACTATTCATAAATATAGACAAAGCTCAGTTTGTGTTAATAACGAGATGTCTTCTTATTTATATTACTCATTCCGTTCAAAAACGATGTTGCGTTTTGAGACGGTGATATTATAATTCTTTAGTGACCGATTAGATGAAAATAAATAAAAAAAAGTGTAAGTGAAAAAAGTGAGATTGACGAAGGAAAATCATCCATTTAATTATCGTTAATTTTTTAAAAAAGAAAGTTGTGGGAGTGTACCTATAATTTAAAACAAATTTCTATAGTTTACTTAATTTGTTCTTATTTTTATTAAAAAAAATTAGGTCTAAATAATTTTGTACCAAATAAAATTTATGGTCATTTTTAAGACAGAATAAATAAATAAATAAATAATAATAGATTCTAAATATTTAATTTTGTAGAATATTGAGGGAGGTATATTAAAATTAAGCATAAATACATTTTATTATGAAAAGATAAAAAAGGGGTGTAATTGTAAGTTTGCATAAATGTTTTTTTTTTTTGGGAAAGATTTATGAAAAAATAGCTGATTATAAAAAGTTTTTTTCTTTTTATTTTTCTGCTATCCAACATCTTCTGTTAATTTTTTTAATTTTTTTTTTCTTTTCCTTGTCTTTCTCGCTATTTCTATTATTTAAATGAAGCCTTAGATGCATACTTAAGCATATCTCTGTAATTAATTCATCTCTTGTCAAAATATAAAAGGAGAATTTTTAATAATAAATTATAAAAATTATTCTGTAAGAATTTAATTTTTTTAATTGACTTTTCAAAAAACACTTGTCTAAAAATTATCAACAAGTTTTTGTACAATTTTTGTAAAAATTAGTTGTCATAAAGATTGTTTAAAAAAAAAACAAAAAAAAAAAATTCATCATTTTGACCAGAGATGAATTAAAACAAAAAAACAAATAAATATCTAACTTCCGAATAATAAAAAATAAAAATAAAAAACTTCAACGCAGGCCTAATCAGGCTTATCTTCGCAACGCAACAGTGCAATCTTCTCTCTCACTCGAGCGCGCGCACACAGATAGAATCCATGGCAGCAGCTTCATTAATATCTCCACTTTCTCTCTCTAAAACCCTCTCTCTATCCACACCCATAATCTCTCGTTCCTCTCAACTTCAACCTCGCTGCTTTAGCTTCCTCTCTCTTTCAATCCCCATTTTTCATAAATTCAAATCCCACCCCAAGATTCCCACAAAATCCTCAAACCGCCCTTTGTTAATCGTCCGAAACTCCAGTTCAATCACTGCCAAACCCTCTTCGGAGTTTCGAAAGAAAAACACCGATGTCGAGAAAGACGAGAAGCTTACCGCCCTACGCGAACTCTTCTCGAAACCTGGTATCGGCATCGACGCATATATCATCCCTTCTCAGGACGCCCATCAGGTTCAATCATCAATCTGTCTCAAAATTTTAGTGTTAATTTTGAAATGAGTTTTGATTGTTTTAAGTAATAAATAAAATTTATGTCATTGTGTCTGTTGCGTGGGATTTATATTTCATGTAATTTTTGTAGTGTGCTAAACTTTTGTAATTATTTTTTAGTTTTGAGTAATCTCTCTACCTCTAATTTGCTCTTGAAGATTATCTGAATCCTTCCTGTGTTGCATTTGGTAGCGAAAAAACTGAACTTGAATTGGAATTAGAAAGTTTTGATATTGGAAATGGGTAATTCTCCAACTTTTCTCATTTAATTCCAAGTCAATGGAACTGTAGTGTGTCAAGTAACTCGCAAATTATAACTTTGTTTATTATTGGAATTACAATATTCGAGAACCAATGACAAATGAATATGTCCTTTTTAATTATAAAATTAAAAATAAGAAAAGATTAAAAAATAAAGAACAATACCTACCGGTGACTAGTGACTACTTACCCTATCATCTCTGATTTTGTAATTAAAGAGAATGTGTCCATTTATTATTGATCCACATGGTCAGAATGGAGTACATTCTCACCCGTGAGGATATAAGTACATGAGTCGGTGTTACCTTAATCTATTCCCTCCCCATATGGTATGGTTTTTATGTCTTATATTTATAAAAGGCTGTCCCTTGACGGTTCTTATAGGTAAAAATAAGCTGGACAGCCATAAAAAGATATTGGCAAGAATAAATGTATAGAAAAGGGAAAATAAGGAACATGAGCATAGCGTGTTACACGTACCAGAATTAGTTCCATAGTTTATTATTATTATTTGGTTGCTCTTGTGGCTGGTCACCTCTTTTTATTGCCAATAATTTGTAATTCATATCCAATGTGAAATATATTGGAAAAATACTCATATATGAATGTTAATTGGGTTTGGCAACCCAACCAGGGCAAGCTCTGCCTCTGATCCAGCTTGAACTTTGACTTGGTTGGCTTGAAATTTAAATTCCAATATCAGTCCAGCCCAAAGTTGACACCTTCAATTTGGGCAAAAAAGGCGTTTCTTAGGTTGGTGCTGCCCATTTTGAATTATTATAATTACTATTACAAATGGAAGATACGCGGGTCCTGATTTTCAGCATTAACTTTGTAACATTTCTAGAGATGCCATCTTTTACTTTTTCCTATTACTGATTTCAGAATGTGTGCGTGTAGTCGTGTACCCACATTTTATTTTATATTTGTGACTGTAGTTCTGCATCGTTGAAAAAGTTAAAATTCCTGTCCAAAAGGATGTATATGTACTTTAATCAGTATGGTGGAACATCTTAATTAGTCCCATATTTTTTGGTTATTTGAACTAGTAATAACTAAATTCTTTGCGTGAATAGTTCTTAATAATCGACCCTAATTGCCATTTATTTTTGCTTCCAGAGTGAGTTCATTGCTGAATGTTATATGAGAAGACCCTATATATCAGGTTTTACTGGTAGTGCTGGCACTGCTGTTGTCACAAAGGATAAAGCAGCTCTTTGGACTGATGGGCGATATTTTCTCCAGGTTGAGAAGAAAACACTATTTATTGGGGAAAAAGTTGTTATTTTGATATTATATAGCTTGATCCTAGAGTTTGCTACCTTGTTGATAGTTCTTTTTATACATTATGATTAGGCGGACAAACAGTTAAGCTCTAGCTGGATTCTCATGCGGGCTGGTAATCCGGGAGTGCCTACCACTAGTGAATGGCTTAATGATGTTCTGGCTCCTGGTTGCAGAATTGGCATTGACCCTGTGAGTAACAGTCAACTTCTGATGATCCATTAGTCAGTTTGCTCATAATAGTTGCATCGACAAACATCTCAGGCAGCATATTTTACTAAAAATTAGGAATTTTGTACATTGATTTCACTTTTCACCAATACAATGAAGCATGTGCTGGAAGTATCGACCTTCTAGACGATTATGATTTTGTAATATGGCTAGAAGCGTAGATCACTATTGTAATGGACACCTTTCAACTTCTCATCATTGCGTACTTGGTCTCCTGCACAGGAAATTGTTAATTATTTTACTGGTTCACCAAGTTAATTTCTGTCCTTTACTTCTCCCACATGAATGTCTACTATATATCTATTTACCGATTTATACTACCCACAGCATTCATCATACTTGCTCTCTCTGATGTAACCTTCTCTTTGTTTCTGTGAAGGGAGCAGTTTCTTTTTTCTTCTGATGCTGCAGAGGAACTGAAAGAGGCCATATCTAAGAAGAAACATGAGTTGGTTTACTTGTACAACAAAAATCTCGTGGATGAAATTTGGAAAGAAGCAAGGCCAAAGCCTCCAAACAGACCAGTAAGAGTACATGACATAAAATATGCTGGTGTTGATGTGGCATCAAAACTATCTTACCTGAGGTCTGAACTCATTGATGCTGGTTCATCTGCGATTGTTATCTCTATGCTTGATGAAATTGCGTGGTTGCTGAACTTGGTAATCTTTCTATTCAAGATTCTTAAATTGACTTTAATGACCTTGACTTATGTGGAGGCTATTATGCTTTTTGTTCGTGTTTATATGGAAATTTGAACTGTCTTTATAGCTTTCTAGAATTCTTCCTGATTTGTCTGATTTGGTCAGAGCCTGAATTATAAGTCTTAGTCAATTGTTTGATTATGTTTCTCATTTTATTCTTCTAATGCTTTGATGGTGTTTTAATTTTGTTTTGCAGAGAGGGAACGATGTCCCACATTCGCCCGTTGTATATGCTTACTTGGTTGTGGAGATTAATGAAGCAAAATTATTTATTGATAATCCCAAAATAACCCCTGAAGTGATGGCTTACTTGGAAAATGCAGGCATTAAGTTGAGACCTTATGAATCCATCCTTTCTGAAATAGAAAGGTAGCTTGAATGTTTTTTTGCTTGGCAAACTTTCATGTTATGCAGAATGTGCATCTTTTTCTATGTTCTCATGAAAGCTGAAGATTTGTATAAATAGCTAGTACTCAATATTAATTTTAGATCCTGATTTTTAATGTGCACCCATTTGACTAGGACACTAGTGTTGGTGTGAATTCCCAGCACCAGTTTGAAATGCCCAATTTAAACATAGTGGATTCAAGAACAGAAGTACTACAATCTGGTGCCAGTATTTGCAAAGATGCCGACACAAGTCTGTGCCAAAAACAGCAAAATATTATAAAGCCTGTTGTTTTTATTAGTTTTGTACTGAAATGTAGTGGGGTAGACCTATTTCATAATTACTGCTCAAACATCATTTTCCTTTTCAGTTTGGCAGAGAAAGGATCATACGTCTGGCTGGATACGTCGTCCGTAAATGCTGCTATTGTCAACACTTACGAGTCTGCCTGTGATAGATATTTTGGGAACTTCGAGAATACAAGAAAAAATAAGACTATGAGTTATGATGGTTCCAGTAGTCAGTCTGTGGGACCCACAGGAATTTATAGGATGTCCCCTATATCTATGGCAAAGGCGGTGAAAAATGATGCTGAATTAGAAGGGATGTGTAATTCTCATCTAAGGTAAGCCTTATTTCATGGTGGCAGATTTATCTTGCATTTTGGTACTCAATGGGTTTAAGGCATTGCTTTTGTTAGGGTAAAAACTGTTACAAGTAGTAGTGTGCTTTGAAATTTAGTTTTGAACGTCAGTTGTTGGCTTATTGGGTTTTTACTGAAATTATCTTCATGTTTTCTGGAAGATGTATAGAAAGTATTGTCAATTCAGTTGGTGCGATCGCTGCTAGCTCAATTAATTGTTACTTGTTAGTCCTGCTATTTTCCATTGGAAGGGATGGTTCAATATCTTCTTGTTAAAGATGCAATCAGTTTGATTCATTCTAGCATACATGGAGCTGCCACATATGAGATAATGTACTAGATCCTGATATGAACCCTGTGATGTGGTTTGGAAACAACAACACATAATCAAAATCTCACAATTTCAGAGAAATATATCTTTACGGGCGATATATTGATTCTACAGTGTTAATGCATTCTTCCTATTGCTAATATCCAGTTATGTACTGGTATTTGTGCAAATTTTTGCAGTAATATACAATATATCAAGTATCAAATCAGGCACCTGACACTTTTCTTTTGGCTTGTTTTTCTAAGCCTTTCTGGTTGGGGTAGACGTGTAAGTTGGTGGGGGTTGCGTTGAAGGGTTAGCTCAAACTCAACCCAAAGAACGAAACCTTTAATTCCAAGTCTAGCTCAACCTACCTTCAACTTGAGCCCTTCAACCCAAGCCCAACCTTGCTGAAATCTTTGACTTGGGTTGTGTCAGTTGGGAAAATTGGGTTTGGTTCAATTGCCTAACCTCCATAAAGATTTATTAAAGTTCTTCTCATCATTAAAAAAGAGAAAAAAAAGAAGAGAAAAGTTAAACAAAGGACGATTAATTAAACATTTGACTTAACTAAGAAGGAACGAAGAAGCAAAAGTGTTTTACACAGTTACTCTGTGTAATATAAAATATATATATGGATTAGATTCATGTTAAGGTCTGGGTACCCTGATTCAGGTTGGGTGGGGTTGTCCGGCACCTTGAGTTGAGCCAAAACTGAAACAAATTCGAGTTGGGACTTCCAACTCCAAGCTCGACTTCTTGTTAAAACTGCTTCCCAAGTCCATGAAAATAAATTTGGTTGGGTTCTGCTTGGCCTGTCCAAATTGCATCCCTTAGCTGAGAGGGAGTGCAGTTGTTTAAAGAATTTAGAGTTTGGAAGCATTGGGTGAAAAGGAAAAAGCTTAGTTTAGTCACATGAGCTCTGGACCTAAATGTAAGTCTAATTGGCTGGTCCATATATTCACCTCATCATCCATAAAGTAAAAAAAAAAAAAAAATTGCATAAGAGTTGGGAGTCAATGAAATCACTATCACTGCTGAAAAGCTTAATGCAATTGGATTTTAGTTACAGTTAGCTCATAATTTGCAATCAAGTTAATATTCTACCCAAAGGTCCTTGGAAGCTTTGGTTCATGTATGCTTAGTAACTTTCACTTTGTGCATACTTTTCTCCTAGCATTTTGTTTACAATATTATTTCTCCTCAATGTTCCTTTTGTTAATTTTTTCTACTGTTGCCGAAATTTCCATGTTTTGCTCACATTATCTTTCTTTTTATTTTTATTTATATATATATAATATCAATTTTGTTTTTAAATAATAATAATAATAATAATAATATATATATATATATATATTATTATTATTATTATTATTTAAAAACAAAATTGATATTATATATATATTGGTTTATCTGTATCGGGGAATTCATTTTAGCCACTTCAGTATCATCTTATTCCTCATTACTCTCAGTTAAATTTATTCTCTCATCTAGACATTTTGTCTCTCTATATGTGTAGACTTTTTAAATCCGTATTCTTTAGTATCCTTGTTATCACATAATAATTTTATCATCGGTATTTTACTTGAAAAAGGGGGTTATCTACCCAGAGTACTTTGTTGCTATTATCCCATTTGTGGGTATGAATAGATATGGATTAGCTATGTGGGTTATTTGATTTTTATTTATTCTATCATCTTTAAAGATGGTTTATTACTAAAGAACTTTAGGAAACTACCTGTGATGTTTTTAATGCAGGGATGCAGCTGCTTTAGCACAATTTTGGGCCTGGCTGGAGGAAGAAATCCAGAAAGATGTGTTATTAACAGAAGTAGAAGTTGCAGACAAACTTCTTGAATTTCGTGCAAAGCAAGCTGGTTTTGTTGATACAAGCTTCGATACTATAAGTGGTATATTCATCTTCGCAAATTGTCCTCTTCAAGAGCTATTTTCATTCTGGATTTCATCAAATTTTCTCTCACTGGTTCCTACTTGTCCAAAAAAAAAAAAAAAATCTCTCACTGGTTCCCTTAAAAAAAATTGCAAATTTTTCTTGAGTTTTTGAATAAAAGAATATAACTGCCAAGAATTTCTGGTATACTGCATGTATTTGACATTTTGGTTCATCTTCACCTGTTAAATGGAGTGGATTTTAATTTTTAGATTTCAAAAACTAATTAAATTTGTATATCGTGTAATTGATATGGGTTATGGTTCTCTTGGTCTAGTTGAAAATGCCAGATCTAATGCATCACCATATTAAAATGATATTAATTTTGAGAAGTGTGGCATAATTTTATTTAGCTCCCCCTCCCTGAAAGTAACCTAAGATGTACATGTGCACTAATACATGGTTAGATTTCATTGCTGAATCAAAGACTTCCAAATAAAAGTGTCATGGTCATATCAAACCATATTATTTGTATTATTTATCTGATTGGTAGTTCACTAAACTCTAAATCAAACCATTCAATTATGTTTTGGTTGGATTGAATCTTACACATAAAGTTTTCTTTGGGTCCTTAAGATAATGGTCGATCATTAAAACTATCATTTTTGACTTATTAAAAAAATTAAAACTATCATTTTTGAGTGAGGGAGGGGAAGTGGGGGCTGCCTAAGAATAATGATGACAACAGATTGAGAAAGATAATGCTTTCAGTTGATTATTAAAATGGATTAAGAATGCTACCTGGAATGCTGGAAAAGCGAAGCTTCTTACTCTCCCTTCACTTTCTTCTTGCTTTTCTCAAAATGACGTGAAAAGAGCATGCTAAATATGCTAAGCCATTATAGTACAGTGATCAAGTGCTGAATATGCTAACTCAATTTTTAGTTGAGAAAGTTTACCACTTAAATTCATCTGAAGGATTTCTAAATTGTGGCGTTAATTCTATAGACTTGTAGTCAGAGGCTATGTCCAAGGGTTACCTCATGCCTGTATGTGCAGGACAAATTCTTACCAGTTGAATTTTTTCTTGATGAAGTGACTTGTGAATTGTAATACAAACTTGAGGTTAAGCTTTTAGGGACCACCTATAAGGATGATATATGCCTTAAAAAATTCTATAATTTAATTTTAACGAGCATATGATTGTATAAATTTGCACTCATTTTCTCTTTTCTTCGACTTTACTGATCAATATTAGATTGCTTTTACAGGTTCTGGTGCAAATGGTGCTATTATACATTACAAACCAGAACCAGATAGTTGTAGCATTGTGGATGCTAAGAAACTATTCCTATTAGACAGTGGAGCTCAATATATTGATGGAACAACTGATGTAACCAGGACTGTACATCTCAGTGAACCGTCCGCACGGGAAAAAGAATGTTTCACTCGAGTTCTACAGGTGACAACTATTTTAGATCTGTCCTGTCTATATGGTACATGCACACATAATATTAAACGGAATTTCTTGTTTAGGTCTTATTGTTTGTCATATTAAATTACATAATTAAATAGTTATGGTTTTAATATAAATTGTCATTACCCAGTATGGTCCCCTTTAATTGAGGGTTCTGGGAAAGTTGGACTGGATATAGACCTAAAATTTGATTTTATTTGCACAAAGTGACTGCTCTCAAGTTTAAACCTGCATTCTAATGCTTGACAGTCCAAGAATTATACTAGTGCACCAAGTAATGGCTGCTTGTTAAACTTTAAATATAAGGGACATACCAGTTCTGGTCTCACCACAACAAGGTCTTGGGGAGGGAAAAAGTGGTTGTTCTGACTCATACTCGCTCCAGTGGCACCGATGATCAAGCGTTTTACTGCTGAACCTGAAAATGGCCCTCACAGAACCACTCTTTATTTTACATAGTTAAAGTTTAAGATCAGAAATAAAATTAGAATTTTTTTTTACGTATGAATGTGAGAGTAGATGATGGATTCTTCACAGAACTGCTACTTGGAGCTTTTGAACAATAACTTTATTAATCACTGAAAATATTATTACCCTTTGTGTGTCCATGTTTTCCGACATGCACAAGTATTCATGCATGTTTTGAGTGCGTTAAAATACTAAAGACATATTAACATAAATAAAAAAAGAATGACCGAATTAGACACTTCATACACCTGAGTGTTAATTGTTTCAGCCTGCTAGTTTCTTATATAGCAGATCATAAAGAAACTTTTTGATTGGATCTTGTGTTTAGCATCTTCTGACTTTTTTTTTTTTTTTTTAATCACTCTGTTTTGCCAGCATTTATGGATTCTAAATAATGCAACCATTCGGCAGACAACACAGACAAATTCTAGATCGCCGCCACCTTTTTGCATCATATCATTGAATCGATCTGCTATTGGTGATCTCATAAAAAATAATAATAATAATAATAAAATATGAGACATATTCCAGATTGCGACCTCATTGCATCGTATCATTGAATAGATCTGCTATTGGTGGTCTCATCAAAATAATTAATATTTGGTTGAACAATATGCTATTCAAACCTTGTTTCAGAACTTCTCCTATCAGTCAGTTTTATCTCCAGGTTGTGCCTGCCAAAGCATTAATCATTTTATGCATTTGCTGTATTGTGCTTTAATGTCGTCTGTAGCTTGTATAATGTGGTTTCCTCTGGCTTACAGTAGTGAAGCTCTCTGTTGGAATGTTCTGCTTTGTTGGACAACTGGTTGTGGCCTGAAAGAACTCATTTTTCCTTTTTCTGAGTGCTTTCTGATAATTGTCCAATTGCAGGGTCATATTGCTGTTGATCAGGCAGTATTTCCTGAAAGCACCCCTGGCTTTGTATTAGATGCTTTTGCCCGTTCTTTTCTTTGGAAGATTGGACTTGATTACCGGCATGGTACATTTCCTCCCTTATTGTTCCCTTGTTGTCTAGTATGTGATGCATTTAAGATTTAATCTAAACAATGTGCTCATTTGTTACCCCGTTTCTCCTTCCTGCTTTAGGGACCGGGCATGGTGTAGGAGCCGCACTGAATGTTCATGAAGGTCCTCAAAGTATTAGTTACAGATTTGGAAATATGACACCCTTGCTGAAAGGCATGGTTGTTAGCAATGAACCTGGCTATTATGAAGACCATGCGTTTGGCATTCGGATTGAGGTACCATACCCCACTGGCTATGTTTATATGTTCTAAAAAACTCACTTTTTTAATCAGTAGATTGTGAATGGTGAAGCAGGTAGATAATCTTGTGCTGATTTGATGGTAAGAATCAATCTTTGAAGTGTAGAACTTCAACAAGTATCTTTGCAATTTCTTAACTGGATTTTGACTTGTTTGAGATGCTAATCTATTGGATTTGTATCACTGCTTGCTTTCTATTTCTTATGTTTGCAGTTTTCACCATGTGCATAATGGTTAAATGTGATTTTCGTTGCTTGTTATTTTTGAATCCACTTCTAAATGTTTAACTTATCATTTTATTATTGCAGAACCTCCTTTATGTGAAAGAGATTGACACACCAAATCGTTTTGGAGGAATTGGATATTTGGGATTTGAAAAGCTCACATTTGTTCCGATACAGGTAACCTAGCTCACACCTGGTACAGTTAAACTTTTTGTCATGACCTAACATACCATTTAGAACGTGTGGGATTCAGAATGAGTCATATTCATCTAGATAAACATTCTAGTTTCCTGTACAGTCTATATGTTAAAAGGAAGGTTTACTATTCATCTGGATAGACATTTTGGGTTCCTATATAGCCTCTATGTTTGAAGGTTGGTTTACTTAAATTAACTTATAGCTTACATGACCACATATACTGGCCTCTCTGTGTAAAGTCTTGCTTTATTGCGCTTTGAGAATAAGTGATAGGGGCAACAGTAACTGTGTTCATGTTCCCATATGAATGATTTTTTAAGCTGCGCGTGTGAATCTTTCTAGCATGGATATTGGTACTCTAGTAGTTGATACTCTTGCTTGAACAATAGTTAATACTGTTTGACTACTGTGCATTTTGATAAGATTATTATGTATTTGGCTAGTATTGTTCTCTATATATCTCCTTTTTCTTATAAAGCTCAGTTAATTCTAATTTTTCCTAATAACTTTAATTATTAATTATAAAAAATATGGGAAGTGTGAGGGTAAGGAGCAAACCGAGGAGTTTATCTGTGGAATCACATCATCTCCATAATGAAGCTTCAAAGTCACTTCACTTCCAGTTTTTGGTTTTTTTTTTTTCGAATTACGTTCATTTTAGAGATCATTTTTTAAATTATGTTTGGTTGGGATGGTTATGTTCTGAGAACATTTCTGTGTTCCATGATGCAGACTAAGTTGGTTGACTTATCTTTGCTTTCTGTTGAGGAGATTGAATGGCTCAACAGTTACCACTCAGAAGTTTGGAACAAGGCAAGTGCACATCTGGAAATCACTTTTGGTGTTTCTATACTATTAACATTGTTGTGTTTCCTTACCAAAGAAAAGAAAATAAAATCGCTGTGTCTATTATCTTATTGTAATTATTAGGTTGAACTCATTCCTCATAACCCCTTGGCATTTTAAGAGCTATATCTTTCTGAAATTTGGGAAAAGATCTATGGCTGTGTTCGGTTGCATGAAATTGAAGCCTTGGAATTGGAATTGGAGAAAATTTTGGTTCAACTTTCTGAGTTGCTTTTCTCCAATTCCACCAATTCCAATTCTAAAACTCTAATTCCATGCAGCCGAACACAGCCTGTATGTTCTTTTTGGTTGGAAATCTGTTCTTTGAACATGGAAGAGAAACTTCTTGTATTATACCTTTGTGTCAAAATGTGGAATGCCTTGGATGGACTATTTACTAGTTTGGAAATCAGACATCAGCGTAATGGTAGCAGATATTTGGTTTGTATTGCCATCTTGGTCGACCGGTTAGGACTTTTTAGTTGCCTATTATCAATAAGCTTACATTGAACTTGTTTCTGTAAACTCCATGCCCTTTTGGTGCATTCTCTAGAATCTTGGTGATGGACTATTGAGGACTTCAACTCCTCTAGTCCATGCATTTGTGAAGGCATAAAAGGAATTCTACTGTTACTAGTTGTTGTTTCAGATTATTGCATTTTTGGAGAACTGTCAAGTCAATCTTCCTTTCCTATTTAGGAATTACACAACTTAACCAAATTTTTTCACAGGTTTCACCATTGCTGGATGGTTCTGCGCGTCAGTGGCTCTGGAACAACACACGGCCAGTGGTCAAACTTTGATTTCATTTCTGTCATTAATACATGTCAAATTATTTGTATAGAATGTTGAAATTATAGAGTAGAGTTGTACCAAATATCATAGTTTGTACACAGCATTTTTTTGAATGAATTATGTGATTTTGAGTTCTTATATAAGATTATGGGTAAATTATAGTAGTTCTTTTATCCAACTAACTTCTTAGTGAATTATAGTAATGCTTTCAAAGTATATCAATTTGCCTATTTTACGGTTTATTTCGGTAGGAATTTGGGAGCTATACTGTGATAAATAATGATAAACATACACTGATATGGAAAGATGGGCTGAAAACCATCTTGCCTGGTGGTATCATCTTTTGTTCTTGTGTTCTTAATGAGGTGTGCTCCCCATTCACAGCTTCCTATGGCTAGAGGTGCCTTTTCTATCCCATTTATTTACTCAGGTCTTTCCCATCCTAACTGAAGTTGGGTCTGAATTAAACATTCTGCTCAGGATCCAAGTTTTTTTTGCATAGAATGGGTAAGACTTTGGTTCTTCCTATCAGCATTCAAAGCAAGGATGGTACAAATTTGACATCCTGTCCCATTCAGCTTGCTTAGTTACAGACGTTTTGGGTTTCATTTAGCTCTTCTTTCCAGTGAAGGTTCGACGTATATTCTTTCAAGTTTTTGGGAGTAATGTTTTGGTTCACTCTCTGTTGTTGTTCTGGAAGAGATTTTGGTGTAACAGAACAGTTTTTGGCTCTAACATAAGTTTTGTAAATGCAATTTGGGAGTTTGCTACCATTCTGTGGGGAAGAATGTTGTACCAACCCGCTCCATTTGAGATTACCTCGTTTTAGTTTACCTTTTTATCGTGGAACCATAGCCTCAACTATTTGCAATTTTTTTTGGTTTCTTTTTAAGGAATTAGAATACTAAAACTAGTTTTTCCTCTAGTTGGAGTTTTTGGCGTAAATCATGGTATTTATAGCAGATTTTGTTGCTCTAGAGTCCATTCATAGCTCAAAATATCACCATTTGGCTATCCCGTTCGGGCTCATTCCAAAGAACAAGCCTTAAAGTAACGGTACGATTGCTCCATTGTGACTTAATAGTGTTACTGGTTCAAAATAAGAAGACAAGCCTTGAAATAACAGTAAGGTTGTTCCATTATGACTTAAGAGATTACTCGTTCAAAACGATAAAACAAGAGAAAATATTTTTAAAACTTTTCAAAGTAAGGCACACCCCACAATAGCGACAAAGTCAAATTACTAGAGGCACTTCTAGAGACGTTTCAAAAAGCTCATTCACGATTCGGTGTGGTTTTCTTATGTGGTATTTCAACACAAGTGAGATTCCCTTGATCTTCCGAAGGCGACGCTGGGAGTATTTTAAGTACTAATAGGATGTGCGCGAGGGCATCTTCCCTGTGTCAAAACATAAGTTGAATTCCAAGATGCATCAATGCATTCTTGTTTGATTTCATGGATTTAAATATGAAAATAAGACCGAAGATGATATTTTTAAGGTTTCCATATTATAAATCCAATTGAATAATTTTTTTTTAAAATCCCTATCGTATCCCTCACCCCATCAGGGAAGAGGACAATGCATTTGCATATTGCAGTCATCCCCGATTATATGATTGGATCCTCTGCTTAGCTGCCTGTAGTGCCTCAACACAATTCGATTACACGTTACTTCAAATTAAAAGTAATGGTGTAGTGCCTCAACACAATTAAATCTAGTTTCAATTCTCAACACATTACTTCAAACACCATAATTTCTAATTTCAACACCAATACTGTTAGCTTGAAGTAATGATTTAGAATCACGATTTAATTATGTTGAGTGCACAACACCACACTATGAAGATTGGATCGAAGTTCCTACAATTATACTGCAATCATCCCTAAACAATTAGTATCAGATAAATCCAAGAACACATCAAGTACATGCCTGATACATGGAATATGTAATCCAATAAGCTTTGGATGAGAAAAAGACATCAAAATTTATTTGAACATGTTACAACAAGAGCAGACAGCCTCTTCAATAAAAAAGCTTGCCCAGGGGATTTACGATTTTACAACAATTAGCTTACTGCAATTTTATTAAATGATAGGCAAAAATGTAAAACAAAAAATGCGTGAACTAACTAATACTTTTTCCTTATGCTGTTGTGATAAGAATTTCCGTTCATATCATTTTCTCCGGAGTTGGATCAGATGTTGAAAGCTCTGCGTACATATCTGATATTGCTTTGGCAAAGTACGCCTTTGCTTGAGGTCTCTTGATCTGGAAGAAACCACAAAACAAAGGAATGAAAATACACAGCATTTTCACTTCTTGAGATAATATGGAAATTTGTAACTGCAACTCCAAACGCTAATGTTGTACAGTTCAAAATTTTCTTTGCATTTCTCCAATTTCTTCTAACCACCGATTTTAATACAAGTTTGAAGAAATGAATGAATTTGAGTTAAAATAAAAGATTGACTATTCAAGTTAGATCTGCAACTTAAACCTAAACTATTAAATCTGATTACCCTTAAAACAGATGAATCTAAATCAATTCATTTTAAGTCCTTCAATCCAAGTGGAGCTAGGTTTTCTTTCCCAAGGTAATTTAAGGAGAGGAAATAAGCTAACCTTGAATGTTGGAGTAAGAAGGCCGTTCTCCACAGTGAATGGTTCAAGTACCAAAGTCACGACTTTTGCAAATTCAAAACCTCTCAACTGCATGTAATTAAAAAAAGAACATTAAAAAACCAAAAAACTGACTAAATTTGACAGAGTCAGTGTCGCAACAAATCACCTGAGCTTCTCTACCCACTGCATCCATGTCAGCGAGGACAGCAGCTCTTGCTCTTGGATCAGTACATAATTGTCCTAAATCCTCATACTAAACAATACAACCATAAATCAGTCAACATTTTTTTTTGATAAGTATCAGTAAAAAAACTTTTTCATTGGCTACTAATGTCTCTATGGATGCATGAAGACAGGCTCTCAACTCAACAAAGCTCTCTCTGAGTCTTTATTGGCTGAAATTAATCAAGTGAGAACTATGGTCCCAGCTTTCGGTTAAGCAGAAAATGCAGGATCTCTAAACATATTAATATTCCCAATTAAAAGAGAGAAAGTTAACAGCATGTAAACTTCACCACCAAACTGCATTCAGCTTCTTGAAGAGAGAGATGAAATAGGCCTTAAATGTATTAAACATGCAATATCCCAGACAAATGTTGAGTCCAGCTCTTCCATCAAAAGATGAAGTTAGGAGGTTAATGTTAAATTTGAATGTGCAAATATAAAATGTAAATCAAGAATAAGTGGAAGATGGAAAACACAGATTTACATGGTTCGGCACTAAGGCCTACATCCGTGGACAAAGAGCCGCTACGGGCTACATTTCTATTAATTAGATGTATATTTTGCTCGAGTACAAAGAACATTTATATTGGCATGGTAAAGATAAGAAAATATGGAAGGTGTACAATTGTCAAAGGTGGCACCGTGATTGGTGGAGGATTTTGCTCCGCCGTTATATAGAAATATTTATAGTTAGAAGGAAAATGACCAGATCACCGTGATTGGTGGAGGATTTTGCTCCACAATTATATAGAAATATTCATACATTTAATCAGTTAAACTACTGAACACCCTTGCATTCAGCAATAAGATAACTATAGGTTCAAAGTTCAAACTCCCTGGTTAATTAGAGCCGTCTTATTTTTACAATTGCATATTTTGATGCTGTTCTTACTGCTTAGTTTTAAAAATAAAAATAAAAAATGAGGCAGCAACATGATGATTCCCAACAAGCATTAGAATGACATTATTGTTGACTAGCAATGTTCTATTTGCACCTAAATGAATGAACATTTAGCACGGTGCATGACTGTCGCAGCAGAAGCAACAGAAGCATAGCTGCGGCCCTAATATGCACATGAGGGTCCAAATAACCTCCTGAATTTTGGAGGTTCTGAGGGTAAGGGATATCAATGCTGTGCACCTTTTTAACTGAAAAGGAAGTAGCAGGGTCAATAAAACAACCTTTATGCCTTGTGATGCCGCCCAATCCTTCAACACATCGGGATCCACTGAGACTACGGCTACTAAAGAGGAGTTCAAGCTATCACCTAAGAAATCCAAAACCAGTCTGTGAAAAGAGAAAACCAGGGCAGTTTTACATATAAAGAAAACTCCATAGACTTACCATATATATAACATTGCGATACAAATTTGCACTTGGCATATACATTCTCCACCTTCTCCGGTGCAATATACTCCCCTTGTGCCAATTTAAATATATTCTTTTTCCTGTAACAAATTGATAATAATTGTTGTTAAGGTGTCTGAAAATTCAAAGCTCAAAACGCTCTGGTTCATATGGCATCTTTAGAAGATTCTTCATCCAAAGAAAAAAGGGTCACATCCATCACGAGAAGTTAAAATTTTCCAAAGGATACAGTAGTAGCTAGAATAACTATGCAACGAACACATCAAAACCTTGTACAAACACTTCAATGTCCATATATTGAGGCAACAACTTTTATATGTCGGACAAGAAGATAGTTATAACGACATCCAATAATGCTTTAACTGTGACCAATCCTTTACTGTTAGTGCCAATGTAAAAGAACTTAACAATTTCGTGCTACATGGCAGGGAGAACTCAAAAGCTGCATAGATCTTAAGCATGAGCTCTATTACTCCACTTCTTGGTGGTAAAGAAGAGTCCATAATATTGTGAGATGTCTATCAATACCTTTTTATGTGCAGCATTAGCTAATTCTAAAGTTGACAACAATTTAACCAAGTTAAACTTCATAAACTCTCTCTCTCTCTCTCATAAACTCTCTCTCTCAATAGAATGGCATACCTACATGGAATTGAAACTTGCACCTCCCCCACTGGGGTGGGGTGGTAGGACATAATACTCAAACTGACAGCTGGTGGTTAGAATTGTATTATCTTACCTATCAATAATCTTAAGGCGGCCCCCAGAAAACCACAATCCAATGTCTCCTGTATGCAGCCAACCATCATCATCAATTACCTCTCTCCTGTACAATTAACCAAAGGTCAGGCATGCTCAGTATATACGACTTCATTTCGATTACAAGATAACATATGAAAAGTTAAGTACGTTTGGACTTCATCTTTGTAGTAGCCTTTAAAAACAATCGGACCCCTGACACAGATTTCTCCACGAGGATAAGGCTGATCCTCAGAGGTGTAATTCATTTCAGGAACATCCACAAGCTTTACTTCTGAAAAAGGACAAAGATACCAATTTACCACAAAGTAAAAAATACATGCAAAAAATTAAATCTGCAAATTACAAACCAAATTCTGGACACATCATTACTTGATTTTCTTTATTATTAATGATCTTTTTTAATTATAATATGAAATGACAATACACTTATTATAAAAAGAAAAGTACGAAGCATGGCGAGACATCGGCCCTAATTAGGATGTACAAGTAAAAAATACACAAACTTATTTATCTGCAAAAAACTGTTATACATTCAAGGGTACTAACAGGATAAAAAAATTTCTTTTTTCCAAAATGCTAAGATGGATCTATCCAAGCTTTTAAAACAGTCTATCTGCTTTCCCAACACTTAACAACAATGGCAACAGTAGATATCATAATAAACCAGTTTTCTTTGTGATTTCATTTTGATGACTAACTTGTGAACTATAATTGAGTGGCCTTCTTTTCTTTCTTTATTGCCTTCTTTCCTTTCCTTCGTCGTGTGCGGAGCAGCTTTCTTTTTCTTGTTATTTAGTATGGGATCATTTTGGCGAAACTTTTATTTTGATAAGTAAGATTGCAGCTTTATTTTTCTTGTTATTTAGTATTTTGGAGCAAATTTTCAGCGACCAACTGGTAGATGAGTAAGCTGTACTTAATCAACACTATTCTAATATGGAAAAGTATTTTGCGAAAACTTTAAATCACATCCCTATGTAAAAAAATTGGGGCCACCAAATCCATCTCTGTACCATCCTTAATTGAACTGAACTCAAAATAAAATGCCACAAAGAATGATTCAAAATAGACACATTTAAGAACAATAAAGAAAACCTTATATAAACCCAGCAATAAATGAGAATGAGGAATAGGAACAGCTAAGAGGAAGAAACTAAAAACTACCACTCAGTCCCATGGTTTGTTCAGTTTGTGAAACGTAAATTAAAGACATGTACCATATAAGTGCTCGACCATTTTTATCAAGTAGATGCTCACCAGATTCAACACAAGAAGTCAATCATACCTTAGATCGCGACTACTAAGCATTGACTACATCTTTCTTGAAATTCTGCTCAGTCTAAAGCAAGACACCAAATATCGTATCTCGAAATTGAGATTTACTTTCTTTTGCTCGTAATCTCTTCTTCTCCATTCAACTTGCAATGGATCATTATCCTACAACTTTGATCAGTACTTTTTGTGGACCATGGAATAAATATTTTAGCTAACTTTTCTTATCTTTCCTTCAGTTGGTGCTAATCCTAACTTCTCCTAAAATGTATCAACTCACTAGAACTTAGTAGAGTCCACTGTTAAACCTATTGTAATCTTACATTTCCTCTTCCATTTTAACGATATACATAGTTTACACATCCCAAAAGCATCTCACAATCATCCGTCTTGTTTTAATACTGCTATGAGCCATCCCCTTCAGTCTTTTTTTTTTTCTATTCCAAATTACAGTTTATATATTTGTCTTACACTCTTACTCTGAATTAATTAAAAGATTTTATGTTAAAAAACATCATGGCGTCATTAGTAGGTTTATATGAAGGTGAACCAACCATCCCCCTCAGCCTATTCAACATTGCAGTCCATAGATTTGGCTTACTCCTTAAATAACTTCATGTCAAACAATTTCACAGCTCATTAGTTGGGTTTTATGAAGGCATGTAGCATGTAATATATCATTATAACATTTGATAGAATCAAATGAGGAGATAAAGGAGCATCACAAATGATGCACTCCATACCTAAACATAACAGCTTATGGTTTTGGCTGGTTGGTGGACACGTGATTCACGATTTTAAGCCAAATAACTATGACTCTACATGCAAAAAGGGAGCCAACAAGAGGCATTGCATGGAAAGTCAGGTCCCGGCCTCTTTTATACTGGACAGATGAGCTGGAGACCTTTTTTAAATATACAGACTTTAAAGTTGCAAAGAAGAATCTTACCCAATAATCAATAAAATGGAGAGAACACAAAACAGAAGTGAGTAAATGGGTAATGGGTCAAGCAAAATAGGAGTTACAGGATAATAATATGAGAGATATATAGATGTCTTTTTGCTTTATTCTTCATCAATTTGGTGAGGTCCTGTGGATGTTTCAGCTTTTTTATGCATATCACTAAATGCTTTTGGCTTCACAATGTCTCACCTTCTGTCTTGACATGTAAATTATATCGTACACACCTAGCTACCAATTACCTCACCTTAAACATAGAACAAACCAGATACAGCCCAACATATGAATCTATTTAATGGTGTGTCCTTGTAATATCCAAGTCCTCTTCCTTAAGAGGACTTGCCATATTGATTTGTTATTTCAACTAAAGTTCAATTCCAACTACATGAAAATTTAGTGTGCCATGATGATTAAAATTTTCAGGTCAATAGCAAACAACTTACCACATGCGGGACTAGGAGAACCAACATGACCAGACAAGTTGTCACCTTCATCCATAATGCATATGACACAAGAGGTCTCAGTCATACCGTAACCTTCAATAACTTGACAGCCAAAGCAACTGCAAGTAGTGGATTTATTTGTTACATAAATATGATTGGCCACTAGGAATGTTAGAAAACCAGAATTAATGATCTAACAAATATGAAAAAGCATTTTTCTTGGAAGAATAATCAACTTACACTCTTAAGAATTCCATCACATCAGGGGACAAAGGTGAAGCACCTGAGCCCATGAAGCGGACTCGTCCTCCAAGTTTTTCCCTTATTTTATTGAACACCAATCTGTCCCACATTGGTGAAGGCTTCCTACCTGAAACAATTAAAAATATATAAACAATACCAAAAGAAGCAAAATACATAACGAAAGAGTAAAAATTCACACCCCCACATATCTTGGGGTCTTCCAGGAAATTTAAGAGTATTGTAGCAAGTCTAGCAGTAATAATCAAATTTGTGTTCTGTGGCATCATTTTGTAAATTTACACAACAAAAAAGAAAATAAAATTACATTTTGCATTTTTGTAGGCCGTCAATTATAATATATATATTTTGAGGTATAGAGCTCCTTTGGCAGAATATTGCTTTTCAAAATTTTTGGAGCATTTATTTGTAATCCCTCAGAAGTCGAGACATTAAAAAAGATGCTGCAAGTTCACAAAAACCTTACCGTCTTCCAGCAAAATTAATTGTATATAGATGTACTATAGGTAATGATAATATAGCAATAAAAATTCAAGACCAAAACATTACTCAAAGTAATTATTTTCGGTACTTAGGATCAATTGTGTAAAAAGATGGGATCTACACAGTACTTCGGAAAAGGTACACGTTCTTCACTTGAAAATTGTTTTCGTACTTTGATCTTTTTGATTGGTTTAGAAATTGCAAAAGGTCCTAATTGAACCCATCTGATTATTGAACCAAATTATTTATTTCTTTTACTATTATTTTCCTTTTAGTGCTTTTCTTGCCAAAGGTTTTCCACCTTATTTTTGCACCTAAACACTTACAATCAGTGCATGAATTTTGGCATAATCGATTTTATTGCATTCTGATTTTCTTAGTTGTGCATTGTTCTAGTTTATAATTTAGTTTACTTAATTCAATTTGAGTTCTATGTTGGCATTATCCTCTACCATTCTTATGTCATAGCTTTCCACCATAACCATCAACAACCTTCTTTAAACTTTGTCCAGACCTAGCTGATGCATCTTCTTAACGATGTCAGAGGAGAACATCGTTTTGTGTCCCCAATGGCTTTGTTCTAAGCCAAGCAAGGTTAAGATTGTTGAGTCCAAACCAAGCTTCCCATCACACAGAAATATAATTAACTGGTGTGAATATGAAAGGGAAACAAAAACAACACTGAAAATAAATTTGGAACAACAACTTCTGAAAATTGGAAATAGGCTTTTTCAACCTCCATCCTCAATCAGTCAGCTCCTTTGGTTGCTTACCAAAACTGATCACTTGCTTTGCAAAGTAAACCAGGACCCATGTGCTTCAATGCAAGCTGCACTCTCTCCAATAATGAAGGCTTTAATTGCTAAATAATTTTTACAGCATTCAGATTGTGATGTTAGAGTAGCAGTAGCCTCATGCCTTAGTGAGTTAACAAGGATTACAGCACCAGATTTTCCCTACAATGATGATCAAATGGTAGAAGTAATTCAGATGATTGCATCATCTTTTGAAAATTTATCTGATACATCTAGTCCATCTTATGGTAAAAGGGTCAAAATTATCCACACATTTGCAAATGTCTAGTCATGTTTGGTTATGCTTGATTTGGATTGTAATGAATTAATTGTTGAGATGTTTGTACACTTTTTAAGGGAAATAGGTTATTATCACTCCGATAGTGTCTTTTCATCCATGGAGAAAATTATGACTCTTGTCTTGGAAGAAAGCGACCATATATCAGTAGAGCTACTTCGTCCTCTCCTAACTAGTGTTAAGAGAGGAAATCAAACTATTTCACCTCAATCTTACAAGTTAGGAGAAAAAGTTTTGAACAATTGTGCCACAATTCTTAAGTCTTGTCTTTCAAAAGCTCTACCATCCATGGTCCTTTTGTCCATTGATTTTGCTGAAGTAGTCACTTCTATAGGTCAAGATGTGTCCGAAAAAGAGTCTATTGTGTCAAACAAGGATGTCAAGTACAATAGTAATTTCTGGAAGACACTTTGGACATTCTTAGAAACAAATTTGAAGTTTCCTTTTGCATCTTGTCCTTTGAATGATAGAAAAATTGAGGTTGTGAAACAAGGTCTAGGAAAGTTGGTTAGTTTTCTTACTAACGTGCACCTAGACACTTGGAATTTGTTATTGCCCATAATGGAATATGCTATACAAGTTTAACAAATCAATTTACTGGCAATTATTTTTTCGAAATTGTCTATAATTCATTTCCATGCCAGTCCATTGATCATGTTCCTTCACCTCCATGTATGTATTCACTTGAGTTTGTTGATTCCTTCGTTCAGCTTGTTCATGATTTTTATGCCAATACGCGACAAGACATTGTCTTAAGTAAAAAGAATTATGAACTCATTGCACATGCTCATCATAGGAATCATGAATTTAATGAAGGAGATTATGCTATAATTTGTGCACTACCTCAACCTTGTCATAAAAACTCCTTCCAGATGAAACATGCCAAAATTGATAGGCTTTGCCACATCATTCAAAAATCAGGACCTAATGCGTATTTCTTTGACTGGTCTTTGGATATGAGTACTAGTTCAATTTTTGATGTGGAGTATCTGTTACCTAACCGAGGCACCTTTGAGCCTCCTATTTTATTGGCATGTGTTCCTACAGGTGAATTTACATTTTCCTCAGCACCGTTAGTTCATCTATCTTTTCAATCGTATTATATGGCTTGGACAAAGGATATTGTTGATTATCAGAGTGATGGCCCTCATCTTGGAGATATTGACTATTACCTTGTTCGATGGAAGGGGTTTTAAATACCAGAAGGAGTATTGACCCATACTTTTTGGAGATATACTTATGCATTTACTCTCCGGAGGAGAGTTCTTCTCAACCGGGAGGGAATGATGAAGAACCGGGCCTAGCCCGAGAGCTTGAAGTCCATACGGCCCATGCCTATTATTGGAGACGTGGGAAAGAAAGATAGAATTAGGGATTTTTGTTTATTTATTATTATTATGGGATATTTCAGCAATTTAGGGTTTTATTTATGGTAATAGGTTGATTAGGGTTTTCTTTGATGTCTATTTATATGTTGGTTCAGACATTGGGAAAGTCAGCTTTTTATGATTATTATTGATATTGAATTTGAGATTATCTGTGATCTCTTCTCCCTCTGAATTCTTCTTCTCTTCTGATTTCTTTCCCTCTATTCTTATTCCCTTTCTCAATCTCTTTCTTATTCTACTTGAATTCTGATTTCCAATCGCCCCTACCCGCTACTGCATCAAGATGCACCCGTGAGGAGAGAGAGATTGGCTTGTATAGAAGGCAAGAGACAAAGAGGGCGACCAAAACAAACATGGAATGAAGTATTAAGAAATGATTTTAAAAAATTGAATCTAGTAGGGGATATGACTTATGATAGAAGAGTGGAGAAAGAGAATCCATGTGGCCGACCCCGTTTGTACAAGACAAAGGCAAGGATGATGGCGATGATGATGATGTGTACTGGCTAGGTTCCACACTTAAATGAATGTCCTTTGTGGTTGTATAGTTGCATTCATTATTTTATATCCATCAAGAAAGATCTTCGAGTGGAAGAAAGAAATTAAATAGTAGCATGCTCATTGGAATTGATGCCATACTTTCAGAATGACACCATAACAGGCAGCAAAACCTCTTCCATCACTAGCTGTTATGAAATGTATGTTTGTCAGAAGAATGGGATAAATAGGATTCTGTTAAAGAAGGTAATATGCATGAGTTTAAATGCAGAGTTGCCACCTGCAAATTGAGGAAGAGGACTTTTTTTATTTAAAAAAAACAAAAAAGGACAAGTCAATAGTTTTTAAAATATATAATTTTTGTAGATCAATTAAGTTCCCCAGTAATAAACGCAAAAAAGAGTCAGCTAAAGAAGAAAGAAAAGAAGTATATTGCAATACTATGATACCACTCATTATGGCTTGCTTCTTCGAATTGTAGGCAGCGTTAAACAGCCTCTCCTTTAGAGACCCAGAAGTTTTCACAGCATTTATGATCCTGGAACAAGCACATTGGACATAAAAAATGAGTGAGTGACCATACAAAGTAAGATTGAACGAATGATTTATCCAGCATACAATTACTTTACCCAGCATAGATTCTGTTGTACAAACGAGGAACACTGCAAAATATGGTTGGTCTTAGAGCAGCCACATCATCCATCAATTTCATATTGTCCTGTAGAGAAGACACTATCCAATTCATAAAACTTACACAGATACTATTATTCTTTAACCCTATGAAGCAAATACTAAGAGCGTGCACATCTACAGCAAAAAGAATTGCCGACCATAAAAATTGAAAAAGAAAAATAAAGGAAATATGAACAAAGTGCAGGACTTACGAACATTTAAAAAAAAAAAAAAAAAAAAAAAAAAAAAGTGCTTTTTTTTTATCAATGAATATATCCCTTCTCCATGTGTCCCTTCATTGTGCATGTGCTCACAAGCTTTGTTCATCTTCCTTTTCTTCCTACCTCATTTCATCATATGGAAAATGATTGTATTTGCTAATTGCTCATAAAAGCAATTACTGGTAACATTGTACAGTTGACTTATATAATAGATAAGTCAATGGGTTCTTACTCAGATCTATATGAATTATGCGCTAATACTCCCAAGATTTGGCTCTTTATATCCAACTCTAGCTGGCATCTCAGGAGAGTGCACCACCTCCTATAAGGCTATCAACTGATTTTAAGGGACGGAAATATACTCCACAAGATGCTTAGAAATTGTTTATATATGAATCGTGGACAACTTAGCTATCTTCTATATTTCCCTTAACTTTTCTTTCTTTCATTTCTAAGTATAATATATTAAATTAAACACCACATAGCAAGCAGAATTTCAAGGTTTGAACATTTCTCAATAGCTTCAAGAATCCCGTGTTATTGAAACAGTTCTTTAACACTAACAAAAAGAACTAGTAACTTTCACGTATGTAAGGCTGCAAATGAACCAAACCGTTCATGAACAGCTCGATCTCAAATAGATAAGGGTTCGGCTTGCATTCATGTATTCACTTAATATATCAATCTCAAACAAAATTTGCAAGCTCATTTACCAAATGAGCTGAGCCCCGAACAATCATTGGCTAGGCTCGTTAAGTTTGTGAACAAGCTGGTTGGACTCAATAAAAAGTCATTTAAATACACTTAAAAAATCAAAACCCTAGTTAACCGATCTCATTTTCTTGTGCCTTCGCAGAACATCCCATACTCATGATTCTACTCCACGTCTCTCCATCCGGTCATCGACCACTTCATCACCGGTAATCAATGATTGTCATCCACTGGTGAGGCAGATCTCTCTCTCTCCCCCCCCTTCCATCTTCAACCATCACACATCACTGCCACTCAAGTGTACCTTTTCTCTCAACTTCTTCAAAACCTTCTCTTGATCTCACCTTCCTCTCTCCAACAAGACCAAAATTCAAAGCCTCCACCACTGTTCTTTCTTCGAATTCCACTCTCAACACAATCTTCCAGTGTAATGATGTATCTACTGGTTTTGATAGCGTCTGTTGTATTTTATTGATTAATTGTGTTTTGGGTTTGATTTAAATGAAATTAATTTGGGTTTTCTGTTTCAAAATCAATGTTTATTGTTTACAGACACTTAAAATAAGGCTGATTAATTACTTTGGGTTGTCATGAATTCTTTACTTGGGTTCAAGGAACTGCATCAATTGCTTGGTTTCTTTTTTCGATTTTAGTTTCGTTCTCTTTCAATTAAATATAATGTATGTTTTAATATTTGAGTCGATTCCATTGAGGAGAACACAATTATGAATACGTTTTTTTTTAAATAAAATAAAATAAGGCAACTCAGTAATTATTTTTTTCCACTTTAGTGTGTCAGGAATACATTTCCAGAAAGCGTCTTCATTGTATTTAGGAAACATCTCTTAAAGAAAAAAGAAAAATGTGACTATAATTTTTAAGCTCGGTTATGTTAATTTTCCACAATCAATCGTTGACCTGAAGCTCAAGACTTGAAGCCTGATAACAAGCTCAGGCTTAATTTGCTACATTAAACGAGCTACCAAGCTGAGCCTGAGCTTCTCAAATCATGGTCAAGCCAAGCTTGAAGACCAATGTGGGAGCTCAACTCAAGCTCGAACACTCTTACTAAACAATCAAGCCAAACTGAACAAGCCCCTGCTCGGCTCATTTGAAGGCCTACACATATGAGATCATGTACAACTGCTTTTGACTCTCACAAATATAAAAAGAGTTCATGTGGCAGAACCCAAGTGACAATATTTTGGAGAGACCGTACATAATAAATCTACTAGGACAAAACTCTTACTCGGGTCTTTTGCATCTTAGATTTCAAAGATCACACTAGAAAATACAATTAATATGTGGAAATAGTAGCTTCAAGCTCAATATACCAAGAGTAATTAAAGAAATGATATGTAATTGTATCACATACCCCCTGGTAAAAACCAACAGCAACGCCGTAATATACTGACATGATTTGGTTAGCTCTTTCATAGATGTGCGCCAGAGGAAGATAGGACATGTAACTGTCAAAAGTAATTTATGTTTAAAAAAGAATTGCGAGGGAGAAAAAATGTGATACAAATCAAAATGTACTAAAAATAAATAGTTTCACTGTAATAAATTGAAGACAACTCACATATCTGACGAATAGAATCTGATTGCAACAGTATTGCCAGCAACACTAGCGATCAAGTTTGCGTGTGTCAATACAACTCCCTTCCGAAAGGGTAAAAAGAAAAAATAAATAAATTTCGTCAAAAAGGTAGCTAATCATTAAGAAGAAAAGTTTAGCTGGATCAGTAAACTAAAAATCAAGAGGCTTAGAATTGCTACCTTCGGTGTCCCAGTAGTACCACTTGTGTAGCATATAGTTGCAACATCTTCAGGTTTGGGAGGGTCAAAAGGTTGAAAACTACTCCGGCCCTAAAAGGAAATAGATTGTATAGAGATCAAATATTTACCCACGGTAAGTAATATTTCAAGCTCAAACCTTGTGAAAGATAAAATGCAGCTTGTGAATAAAAATAAATAAAAAAATGGATCTACTCATAGGTGAAGTTTATTTTCACAAACAAACATTCTAAATATATTAAAGAGCATAATGTGCACATCCAAGAAAATTGAACAAACTACTTGTGAGGACACACACACACACACACACACACACACATATATAATAATAATAATAATAAAAAGAGATTAGAAAGAAAGCATCTTTGAAGTACATAATTGGGGTGTCTGAAATACACGGATCTAGAATAACAATAATGCGACCAAAACCCCACCAATTTCACTATGTTCACCTTCACCTTTTTCTTCATATCATAAAAAGGATGCCCAGAACTCTTGGATAGTGTTATTTTAACGCTTGAATTGTTGGCCACCAACAAGACAAATCTATACATTTCATGCTATCATACATGGTGGACTAGTAACAGAAACTTTACATTTCTTTCAATAAAGTGAAGAAATATTCACTCAAATTTCAAAAGACAATTAGTTAATTACTTCCCTAAAATTCAAATTCTGATGACTAAGTTGGATATTCTAGCTTTCTTGTAGGAACCATGTTCAGCCTCACCATTCATTATGGATCTAGTGGCAAGCTAGCTTGCTTGCTCTCCTAGTAGTGTATGTTGGTGGCAAGGAAGGAGGAATTGGAAAGACTAGACCATGCTAAAGGAAAGGGGCACTTTGGAAGCAACTAGTCACTTCTGGCTAAGCTTCTAGAATGTCGACCACTGCAAAGAGTACTCAATATACCAGTCATGAGCGATAGCGAAGCCTAGAGAGGTGCAGGACAGGATGAAAAGCTGTGTAAAATGCTGCACAGAAGGGTACGTTTATTAGAAAGGAATAAATAAAGCTGCAAAATACCTCAGATGACATATATGATGGACCTGACAACTTTCTGAAAAACAAGCCTTGGATCTTTTTCTATCTAACCAATAAACCAGTTAATCAACTTAATCCAACCTCCAATATGGGTTTGATACCCTCAAAAGATGGTACAGTTTGAAGAAAGGAAAAAAAAAATGTCTTCTATTGTTTCTGGTGTTAATGGCCGATAGCTTGATACCATTATCTAATCGTGGTTATGCTGTCAATTTTTTTCAGACCCATCCATCACTGTTCGTCCAGAAAATTGTACATGTAAGATGCAAATAAACTGCAATGGACACAACATCAATGATAACCAGTTAAAAGTAAATAAAAAATAATATCACAAAAGAAAGAGAAGGAAATGGCAGAGATTGCTTTTTCTTATCATGAAAAGGATGAAAAAGATTTAGCACAATGAGGATAACTCTGGAATTTCTTTTCCCTTTTCTTCTTTGTTTCTATCTGAACTACTACAAATTTCTATTAGTAATATTAAAGTTAAAATAAAGGTTCTTAAGCATTTTCTGATTGTATCCTTCCTACTTAACAAACAAACAAGGGGAGTGAACTTGACTGAAAGCTCTTCTCCCCCTCTATGCAATTTCCAGAACTAAACAAACAGCAACTGTCTAGCATTTCCTTTACACGAACAAGAAAAAAATCAATATTAGACACATTCTTAAATGAGCATAACCAAAATGGTAATCCGATTGCAAAATTAGAGCAACATTGCCAAAATTTCTATTACTAGGTAATTTGTAGAGAAAGTTTTGAATTACCTGACTAAGTAGTCTCAAATAAGATACCAGCTTAACTCCGGAGGTCGATGGAAGTGAAGGCAAGTGTTCATCTATCCCTCCCGCAACCTGTCACCAAGGTTGCAAGGGAAAGCATTTCAGAGGAGCAACCAATTGAGCACTATGAATGCATAAAGTTTCTATGAAGACAACTCGGTTGAGGGAAAACATACCACTATTAAACGTACAGATGACATCTGAGATAAAAAGCTCAACAACTGCATATCCAAGACGAGAAGTATAAGATATGTTATCTTTTTGAAACTTACATTCGCTATAGACATAAAGAAACAAGTAAAACATATATGGTAATTTGTATCAACGTTGAAACTGTGATTGTAGATTGAACATGGAGCTGAAAAATCAAATCGGCATCTTACTTCAAGCTTCATCAATTACACAATATAGAGAAGGTAATTGACCTAAAAGCCCCTAGGTTCCGGAGTGATTAATTAATAATTAAGTTGATTAAGAAGTTCCCAATTATTCATTATTATTTTTAGTTAAGAATGTCTTAGAATTAATTAGAGAATTTGAATTAGTTTGAAATTAATGTAAAACTAATTATTAATTAATTTTGATATAATTTTAAAGCTTTGTATTGAATATTAGTTAATTCGGAATGGATTTGGAAACTTTAGTGTTGCTTAGAAAGCTAGGTTTTCAGTTTAAGTTAAAAGACAATTTAAAAGGCGATTTTGATAAGGATTGTCAAGTTGTGAAAACTGACTTCCATGTCTTCAAAAAATCATTAAAAATAAATACTTGGAATCTCATGATGAGCTTTATATATTCTGAAACTAGGCTCGATAAACTATCCAAGAATTTGTATGCCTAACTTCAAGTATATTTGAACCCTCAACAAAGCATTCAAAGTTAGGTTATATGCAGTCAGGTTCAGCAAAATAGCTCAATAGATCAAAACTGAATCTCAGATCGATCAAAATCAAACTAGAATAGCTCGGCCAAAAGTTCAACGATTAAAGCAAACCGAGACAGTGTCGATTGATGCCTCTGGAACGAACAACCAAAGTAGGCAAAGTATGCACTTCTAAGTTCAAAAAAAGGTGAAGTATGCATTTCTAAATCTGAAAAGATCTATAAATTTTCAGAATCTCACCCAAAAGAATAAAATAGTGTTTTAGGATTCTCTAAATGTAAGGAAAACATAAGAGACACAACTACACAATTGTTAGAGAAATGTGTGATTTAGTGTTAAACAGTTAAAGTAAGGAGTTTCATTAAGTACTTGAAGATTGATCAACCACAACATCTACACATCAAACAAAACCTTGGATGACAAGTCATGGAGATCGCTATGCTTGTGGAGAAGCGGATCGCCTGAGGAGCAGACGGCCTAGAGACTCGAGGGAAGAGTTTGGATTTAGTCTGTCAGGAGTAACTAGGGGTTTCCTGGGGTTTGGGAAACTGGTAATAGTTGTAAAATCTTTCTCATAATGGATTTGATTTGCCTGAACTAAGTCTCATTATTTTTTCCTGTTGGGATTTTTTCCTGTAAAATCGTGTGTATATGGTTGTTTGGTTAAATTTATTTTTGCCCTCCATATTTAACTGATTCATACATTGATGCGTTAAATATAATGGTTAGAATTTAAAAATCAATTATTGTTAGTTAAAATTGGGAAAGACATATTCACCCCTCTAAGACTAATCGGGCCTTGCACACTACACAGCAGAACCAAGGGTTACAGCCCTAGATTACAAAAGAAGTTTACATGTCATAGGAATGGTTTGTACATGAACTGCATCCTCCAATTTTTGCTATTACAGTTTCAAGAAAATAAATAAAATATATACAGTAAACATATTATTAGTTAATTCATTTCAATTCAAAAAAGTAATTTAAAGAATTTATTATAGAAATTAGCTTGTGTAAATGAAAAACTGATTTGGTAACTTTATAATCCATGTTTACAGTCTCCATGTCTTGTTCCATCATTATGTTTTCTTTGTCAGCAAGTTTAACATGTTTGAGAAAAGTATTGACTGGTTATCCACAGTACAAGGCATTAGTTCCCTAATATAATGGAGAAGCTATAAAAAAGCATAAATTCAACTCACTGAGTTAAGTGTTTGTGGCACACAGAAAATAGCTTGAATATCGGCATGATTCACAATATACTTCACAGCATCTGGACCTGTGGCACAAACAGAAAAACCACCACAAGTTCAACAGACTTGTCCAAACTACAAAGATTCATCTTCACAGACATGTACACACCAAGAGTGTCATATAAAGGAACTGAGGTATACGAATATGCTGAGCAGGCATGATCCACAATCAACCACTCTGGAGTATTTATAAAATAAAGTCCAACACAAGCTCCCTGTTCCACAATGAAACTCAATGATGTCAGCATATTTGAACTCAACATTTTCTACCAACTTATATTTGAAGGTATAAAACTAGAGATAATCACCAAAATAAAACAAGAGATATCAACAATGATCAAGGTTCACCACCAGGCCATTAGCTCACGTGGTATGAGCTCCCTTCCCCAAATGGGTATGAGCAGACATGTAAATGGATCGGATTTTGATCTGAATCCAATTCGAATCCGATCTGATAACTTGGATATGGATTGAAGCTTTAATCCAATAACTCGTTAACGATCCAAATCTGACAATCTGTTAACTAAACAAATCGGATATGGATTATGGTTAATCCGATCCGAGGTAATATATTATATAATATTTTAAACATGTATTATCTAATGCTATAATTTATAGTATTTACATATTAGCAAAATGTTTTATAATTCCTTTCTTTCTTCCTCTTCCCTCTCCCAATTTTATCTTACTAGTGTTTGTTCTCTATCAAAGAGTAAAATATCTAATTTTCTTCCATATTTTATTTGTCTTCTGTTCTCTCCTTAATATTCTAATCATTCTTTTCCCATTTCTCTTAACATTAATTCCTTTTCACGTACACACACACAAAAATTTACACCCTTAACGGATCAGATTGATGAAAAGCCTTATTGGAGGGGCCAAAGGGCGGGGGCTCGTGTTCGCGATTTCTGGAGGGCGACTCCTCTTTGTATTTGGTGGTGCCTCTGGAAAGAACGGAATAGAAGATCCTTTGTTGGGGAGGAGTTACCCATTGGGGCGTTAAAGTATTCTATTATTTGTTCTCTTTTTAGTTGGGGAATGGGGACAGATTGTACGTCTATTGATGAGATCATGGACTTTTTGGGGCCTTTGGATCCATAGGTCGTCCCCTTTTCCTTTTTGTTTTTTGCTTTTCGGTTCTTGTACAGCTCTTGGGATGCGTTCCCCTTTTGAATGCTTTCTAATAAATCTTTACTTATCAAAAAAAAAAAAAAAAGATTTATTGGATTCAGATCGACTTGATCCAGTTAGAATCCGATCCGTCTACAGGTCTAGGTGTGAGCAGATGCTGGGCAGTATAGACCGTAGACCCTTGATCGTTGTTTTTTTTCTTTTTCTTTTTTGTTGTAGGTATGCAACACCCACACACTCACGAGACACAAACCATACTGCCTAGGGATACAAGTTGATTAGGTCAAGCCCGACCCAACCTGAGTTAAAGGCTGGCTCCGGTTAGTTTTTTTAACACTAGGGTTGGATTAAATTTTCTCAACCCAAACCCGATTTAGGTTATAAATATATTTATTATTTAATTATTTAAGAATATTAAAGTTGAATCTTAACCATCTATTTTGATCCAACAGTTAGTGTGACCCCTATACAATAGCACTTATCCTAGCCCACTGCCATTCCTAGAGAGAGAAACCCTATCAGTCGTTCCATGTTCATCTCGCTGCTGACTCCTCCATCTTGCTCCCGTTGTCTTCATCTCTCCATCATCGACTCCATCTTGCCATCATCGTCCTCAGCTCGCCAACATCTTCATCTCGTTGCCTCCAGATCCCTACACTAACTTCTTTTTATTGATGAAAACACTTCAATTTGCAATGTAATGTGAACTTGACGGAATATTCTGCCTGTTTGGCCATGATATGTTGAATTTTTGCTAGTGTTGACGGCAATGGTAGTGGTAGTGCTTGGTGTTCAGTTACGGTTTGAAGGAGTTGGGAATTCTTGATCCATATAATATGTGAAAATGGGTCTTCATTGTAGCTTTAATCTTCATCTCTTAGTTACAGTTTGAAGGAGTTGGGAAGTCTTGATCCATATAAGGAGTTCAAGCACAGCAGGCCAACCCACCCAACTCGATCAACCTGCCCATTGTTGAGCACATGCTTACAACCTTAGCCCGAGGTCGGCCCATCAACTCAGCCGACTTGTACCCCTACTACCTCCCAAAAAAAACGATCAAGGGTCTACTTCATAAAAGTGCATTTATAACAATTAATATACAAATCATGTCGTTTGAAAAAATAGTTTAAGTTCACCAGTATGACTAACTTTTGGTAATCCATGATACCGGAGGCCAGAACCTATTGCTGATCGTGCAGTGCCTGCCTCTCCATACGTCATCCATTTGTACCTTCACATGTATAAAATTAAGAAGACAAATCAAGGAAAATTAAAGATCAATTCGATAATTTGACCAATCTGAGGAGAAATTATGTTAAACAATAACCAACTTACTCTCCAACAGTTCCATCCACCCGAACACGCGTACCCAAGTATTTGTAATCTTGGAAAGTTTTAACTGCATGTCTGAACATGCAATATCATCACAAACAATTATATCTTACCAAATAAATAATGTAGAGGTAGGTCCTCCAAACACATATAGTTTCAATGGCACTTCAAAGTAAAAAAAAAAATAATAATAATAATAATAATAATAATAATAATAATAATAACAACATCACAAAACAGCAACAGCAACGGCTACATTAAAATCATCACAGAATTGAGTATACTTCAGATAGAACATAATTACAAAATAATAAAAAATAATAAAAAATAATAATAATAAAAAAAAAACCATACAGAGGAGAACACTGAATAATAATAACAACAATAATAAACAGAACTGAGTATGCTATCAGAAGAGTATAATTACAAAATAAATAGCCATGCAGAGCAGAGAACTGAATAATGGAGTGCATAGTGAAGATGAAAGAGATTCTTACACAAAATTATCATGCAAAGTACCAATTTCAGGGTGATCAGGGAATCTACTAACAAGCTTCAAGGGAGTGCGTGCGGATCTGCCATGAAAGAATTATTCAACTGATAGTTATACGGTTATACCATAATGTAGTTGTATGCATATAATCAAAATATTTATATATATATAAATATATATATTAAAAAAAAAAAAAAAAACTATCTCTATTCACTTTTAGCAGAACATAAAGCAGTCAACCTGTATACGTTCCACTTTCCTGTCTGCAATTTTTCGGGAAGAACTACGCTGTAACCCTGACCTGTCCAAATTTGAAAACCATCATCATTATAAATGGAATTGTATAAACGTAACAGGAAAACTAATAGGAACAGGATGCAACGATAACTGGAGAAAAGTTATTCCAATGCATATGACTATTTTACTGGAGAGCATTGAAATAACAAATGCTATATTTCTTAAAGATCATCCTGAGGTCAGAATGCTTGTGCAAACTTAGTTGAAAGAGAGCAAATAAAGGTCACAATCCTGCACAATGACAGAAATGTGCCTAGTTACATGGTATATAACTCTTAAACTATGTCGTCACTTGCAGTGTTCCTCATGAAATAAAGTGAACTACTAGAGTGAAGTAATTCAGTGTTAAAATACTTTCACAAAGAATAAACAAATAAAATTACTCAGTCACATCATCTCTTATAACTATCCAAGTGCAACCAAGATACTTGTTTTATAGTCAATCTCCCCAACTCTTCGCTCATACCAGGAATACTTCATTGAATTGCATTGCTCGACTTGTACCCTTACCGAGCAGCGGTAGGCCTGCTGTTCCAGTCCATGAGGCACGTTGGGCCAGCTGACTGGCAGCCTGAACCGAAAAATGGGAAAAGAGGGGATTGGGGGGGGGGGGGGGGGGGGGGGGGGGGGGGGGGGGGGGGGGGTGGGGGGGGGGGGGGGGGGGGGGGGGGAACTTTAGACCGTCATAACTCCATGCTCATTTGTCCAATTTTGATGAACTTTTATTTTTTTATTTTTTTATTTTGGGTTGTTTATTTTGTCAAACAATGCCTTCCTGAGCCTTAAAACGAGCTTTACTCTTGGATATAACCTTTAGTGATAAATAATCTATTAATTTTAATATACATGAGGACATCCAATGTTTTGAGTGGTTCGTACTCCACTCTCCTAAAAGGGAGGTTAATATTTCAAGCCTGTGGAGGTACAATTCTCTTGATATGCTTTTTATCATTAACAACAACAAAAAAAAAGGACCACTGCCCAACAAATGCTTTTTGTCATCCTTCTCTTCCACATCTTCGCCCAAACAAATGCAGCTGCAATCCGAACAAAAAGTTCTATTTTATTTTTTCGGTGTTCTGTAGAACCTTTTAAGGGAATAATTAATAAAAAAAGAAAAGCATCTGCTATACATTCACCATAAGATATTTTCGGCAAAGGAGAAGGAAAGGGAAGGCTTCAGACACGGTCTAGTGACTCTAGTCAATGGCACCTAAAGGAGAGCAGGCGAACTTTCTCTTCCTAGCAGGTGTGATACCTGAACTATACTTGGGAAACAATTTTAAAGGAAGAGAAACACAAAACAAATAAAATGAGACTAGGGAGTGATCAAACTGTGGTTTATGACTAACATATGGTCAGAGAGAAGCCCTTAGTTAAGAAAGACCTCCTTATCCCAACTCCGAGTGATAAGATGAAGAACGTTGCTGACTATATATTGAGTTACCAAAAGGATAAGCAGATAAGCCTTTACCATAAATCTTGCATCTTAAACGCCATTCTCTTAAATATCTATAATATTTCCCCCAATCTCTGCCCCCAGGAGCAAGATGAACTTTTTTGAAATCCCCATCTTCAGAACCATTTCTTACTGAATTTGCATATGATATCCACCAGCACAAAACCCCCACCCCCACCCCCCCCCCCCCCCCCCCCCCCCCCCCCCCCAAACACAACACACACACGACTGCAAGTGAGAGTACTTTTGAAGATCAAAGTTATTATGACAAGCCTGCTTTGAGGTGCTAACTACTACTTTGAAGTCAATCCAGTCAAAAAGCCAAAAATGAAGACCTACATCAGGTGCCTTATTGATCCATCAAATTAGCTTAAGTTCAGTGCAGGATCATTTTTGAAAGTAATTTTTTTTTTATAAGTATTTCTGAAAGAAAATAGAGGTTGAGCTGGAGGAGGAGGGAACTTTAGAGTGAGGAAAATGAATGGGATTTTCCTTTCATATAGATCACGCTCAAATGATGTCGCATGATTCTGGGATCTTTCCTCAAATCATCTCAACTGGGACA